ACTGAATGTAATACAACATGAATTTGTGTCTGATGCATTATTTGTGCCAATTTTAGTTTCTGTTTAGACTTTGAAGGTAACCGAGCTGTGTGAATAATGAACCTCTGTCTGAATCTGCATATATTAAATGGGCTTTGATAGAAAAATTCCCACCTTTTTGTTCTTCGATTATGCTCTTTGTTGCTATGAGGAGCTGTGATCTTAGAAACTATATTTTCTCAAAGTAAGAACACAGTGTAAAGATTACATAACGGTTCACTGGCCTGGACTCAAAGCGTTTTCTTTCCCTTTGATACCAGTACAGTACACACATGCAGTACAAGGTATGCTTTGTAAAGCAGTGGTGTATAGTTTAGGAATGCAGACATGGGTGGATAAGTTCCCTCACAGTAAACCTCGTCTTCCTTCCTGCTCTCCAGGAAAATCCATCTCCAGACCAGCCCTCGGCCCCCCTCGCCCCGTCCCTTTAACCAACATGAACTCCTTGCCTCATGGCTCCCGTGCCTCCATCGACATCCTGGAGGAGCTCCAGCTGATTGCTGCGCAGAATCTGGAAAAACTGGACATCAACAAGTACTATGAGATCATCCGTGAGCTGGGAAAGGGCACCTATGGAAAGGTGGACCTGGTCATCCACAAAATCAGAGGTATTAACTGTGGCTGCTTCTGTAAAGAACAAAAAATTGTATTAATATCTACAGAACAAACAAAAATAAACAACTGGTTGATGCAAGTTTACCACATTTCAAACGAGACCAACATAAAATTTTAAAGAAATCACTTTAAATATAATTTCGTCCAATAAATGTTTCCGTTTTTGTTTTTTTTATATATATTAAGTAAATTTTTGCATTTTTACCACAAAACACGACCATAGTGGTAGTAACAGTGAAATATGGAAGAAGAGGTTGTTTTGGGGGGGGGTTCCTGTCAACAGACTCTAATTGGCAAAAGTATCCGAATTTTTATTTATTTTGTTTTCCAAAATACAAATTGCATAGAGCACAAGGAAAAGCTTTTAAATGGTGAACCCATGTTGGTACTCTGTCATTTTAAAACAAATCCATTTACCATTTACAATATTTTTAGGACAAATTAATAATGTAAAGGTTTTTTTTGTTTGTTTTTCTTGCTCTTGGGGGAAGAATTAACTAGTTAATAGTCAAGTTGTACTTACATTTATTAACTTTTTGGTATTTTTGTCTAAATTTTATTGAACAAAAATACCGAAAGCTTTTCAATAAATAAAAAATAACAAAACAGTAAATGGAATATATTTGAATTTCCTAATTCAAATGGCTTTTTAGTTTGGGATCTGCATTAGCATTAACTTCATGATGTAGCGTCAATTAAATAAATCTATCATTAGTTTCATTGGCT